AAAAGGCAGTATACCTTTCGATTTCTCTTGCCGAGTTGCGTTCGAATATACATATAATTTAATTTTATAAGAGGCGAAAACTCGCATAGATACAAACCCCTGAATATTGATATAAACCCCTGAATACCCCTGAATAGAAAAAGACGAATGGAAAAGGTCTGATGGAAGAAGTCGTGTTTGGATCGGGCTTTTACATTTATTAACCATCTATGATGGCTTCCAAAAATACACCAAGTATAGCGTGATAAGAGCTTCTAGATACAACTTAATAAAAGCATTTAAAATTATTTTAATCTAATAAATGATATGTTGTAGTAATGACATGTTCACTGATAAATAACACATTTAAAATACAGTAGGGCCTCGCTATAAAATACCCCCAATAATAGCTTCACTTCAATTTAATATACGTTCCAGGGATCGCGCTGACCCTATTCATGATTCCCGAAAGAAATTTGGGTTTATGTCGAATTTTCTGTCTATTTTTTGTCAATTTCTATTGAATTTTTCTGAGCTATAAGAATATTCCCATCTTGTAGCAAATTTCAAGGGCTTTATGATGAGCTCAAAATCAAAATTCAAAACAACTCTTAAGGGTTCGAAAATATTTTTTAAATAGATTTTGTAGCGGTTTTGTGGAGGAGATTTGAAGGAGTTTATATTTTTAAATATTTTTAAGCTCACTTCGTAGCACATCAATATTCTTTCAGGGCTTATATACCCGATTCCATTATAGAACCGTTTTCCATAATATTCAGCGTTCGCAAATTTCAATTCATCCAGTGCTCAAAAAGCAACGCCTGCTCCATGTTTTTTTACTCCATGTTTTTAATTTTATTAAAATATGGCTAAATTTATTTATCAAATTTATTTCTTTGTCATAAATTCGTACGCATTGTTCTATGTATTTTTGTAAGCCATTTAGGTGGCTAATTTAAATAAACATCCAATGAAATTTAGGAAGATCATTGGATATGCTTGTTAGACTGCTCATCTCCAAAAATTTATTTAATGCAAGTCCTCAACCATTTCCAGTCTTGTTCTCGAAACGCGCAGCCTAGGTTTCAAGTGTGCCTCGTTCTCAGTCTTTTCTAAAACTCGACATCGCGCTACTCTATTTTCTAGCGAGACAAGCCCAATTTCTAAATTTTCAATCTCTGATTTTATTTAAATTAATTACCGTAGTTACCAATAAAGCACGATGGATTAATTCTTCAGGATTGGGCATTACATAATATTTATTTTATAAATTTACTTTCTTTTTAAATTAAATGTAAATCACTGCGTAATAGTACATCTTCTCTTCTGATGGAGTATTTTTGGAAGTTGGTTATATCCAACTAAGCAAGCTTGTGCAGAGCCTAGTGACGAATATAAATTTTTGGGTAAATTTTCAAAAATAAAATTGTTGAGGTTTGTTATTCGATGTTTTTATATGTTCGGACGGGTGTATCCTTATCATCTGTTAACCAAATTTCTTATTTTTTTACTAAAAATTTTCTCATAGAGATGTGAATAACCCAAAAAAATTATCAATTTATGTTGAGTTTGAAGCGAGATATGGCCAAACAAAAGGGACAGAAAATTGTCCCTGTAATTAACCTTTCACTTAAAATTAGCCAGAGCTTTGCTTGGCTTCCAAAAAATAAATTTTTAAAAATTCTAGCCCCGTATTTTATTGTAGAAATAAATCCTCTTATTTAGAAATTTTTGAAATAATTAATATTAAGAACTAAATTCAACATATTTAAAGCGAACAGTTTACGTGTCGGGTTAAGGACTCCAAATGACGGTTAAGATCAGTCCTAACTAGATATCGGAAAATTTGATTTTTGACTGTGTCAATCAGTCCAAAAATAAAGTTCGCTCAAAGATAAAGAAGAAAATTTGTTTAAAGGAACGAATTTTAAAGAAATAATTCTACACTAAAGCATATTAAACACACTAAAGCACTCTACACTAAAGCACATACCCTTGAAGTGAAAATATAATTTTTAATAATCATGGATAGAATTTTTAGGTTATTTCTTATTTTCCTTTTGTCACCTATTTCATCAATCACCTACATATTAATCCCCCAAAATTCTCTTTTTCATTCGAATAGTCTAATTTTTAATCCACTTTTATAACTCAATTTACTTCTTGATAAACCAAATCCCCGATTGTTACTGTCTTATCTTATGTTATTCTTTGTTAGTACGTAGACATAGAAGTCAAGTCCATAAACCATCCTTTACCCTTTGCATACAGAATTAGTCTAAGCATTGCTTGACTTCCAAAAATACGGACGATTTTCTTCAGCTAACACAAAATTGCTTCAAATTAGTAATACCTATATGCTTTACAAAAATTAAAAATTATATATTTTTGAAATTTTATAAATTACAGGATACGCCTGACAAATTTGTACTTAACAATTAAAAGCATTATTCGAGGAAAATAAATCGAGACTGTTAACGACTTGCACTTAACGGGAACTGAGGCTCAATGACGGGCGGCAGGCAGTTGGTGGTCCATGTATGTCACTTAGACAGGTGGAACGACACGAGCATGTCCGGAAATTTGGGGAGTAGACATTTGGGGAGTGGACAATTGGGGAGTGGAAATTTGGGGAGTGAGCGGACATTTGGGGAGTGGACAATTAGGGAGTAGACATTTGGGGAGTGAGGATTAAAAAATAATTTAAAAATCGATTTTCTGGACAATAAAAATAATTTATACATACACACGTGAAGGTGTTTTTGTGGGCTTTCAAAGATTTTAAAGATATTGTGATGTCTGTAGCCGGTTGAGTACAACCATAAAAGTAGGATAGCAACCTCCCTTCGGGGGTTGGTGTGTCGGTGATCGGGGTTTGCCGGGGAAGGCATGTCGGATGTTCGGAGTCGGGATTGACTTTTCGGTCGGGGGTCAGAATTTCACTAAAAATTAGGGTAGCACAAAACCGTTTAGCTAAACGTAATCGGTATACGGTAAATGGTATTTTGGTAAAATTAAACGGAACGGTATAGTCTTAGCTAAACGGCATAAACGGTTACGGTCACTCTAAACGGCGTTTAACTAACCTCTCAAAATTCTCAAAATTTTCGCCTGAGGCGCAGTAAAAGAAAGAGAATCTGGTTTCCTGGCCTCCAAAGTTCTCAAAATTTTCGCTTGCGGTGATAAAAAAGGAATAAATCTTGCTTCTTTTCCTTCAAATATTCTTAAAATTCTTGCCTGCGGCGCTAAAAACGATACAGTGGGAGCTTTGACATTCGACAAAGCTCGACGAGTTCTATAACCTAATATTGACTGACCACTTTTTAATACGTTGAGCAAAGAAAAAGTAGGGGAATTGAATTTTACCCTTTATAACTCGACAAAATCACCTTCAGTAGTGTATAAATTATTTTTATTGTCCAAAAAATCGATTTTCAAATTATTTTTTAATCCTCACTCCCCAAATGTCTACTCCCCAATTGTCCACGCCCAAAATGTCCGCTCACTCCCCAAATTTCCACTCCCCAATTGTCCACTCCCCAAATGTCCACTCCCCAAATCTCCGGGAGCCGACACGAGTGAGAGATTTACAAAAATATATGTGAAGCGCGAATTATTTTTGTAAATCTCTCCCTCATGTCGTTCCACCTGTTCAAGTGCCAAACATGGACTACACTAAGGCAGCCACAGCTGCGCCAGTCATTGAACCTTAGTTCCGTTAAGTGCAAGTCGTTGTGTTAACCAATACAGCAGATCAGTGGTGTCAAATACTGTTTGAATTATTTGCTGAATAATATTCAGCATCCAAAAAATTAAGAGCAAATTAGTGAAAGTGGAACACAAATTTTTTGAAGGACCTACTGCTATTTAAAAATTTAAATAATGAAAAAATAAATATATTGTAGACTGCACAGCACTTATTTGTTAGGGATTATATAGGGGACACGGCCAAGTAGGTGCGCAACCAAGTAGGCGCAAAGCTAGGGAAATTTCCGACCCTTATCAATTTTGATACCAATCGGGCCTAACTAGTTTCCGTACCAGGCTCAGAATTGAACGATTTATATGTCATTCAAAAGAGCTCGTCGAGCTGAGTCGAATGACACCAAAATTTTTAAGCGGAAAAAATTCTGAGCCGAGTTACAGGCCCCCGAAAATCGAAATACCATAGGGGGGACCAAGCTGATTTTTGGGGTCAAAAATTCGATTATACAAATGATACCTCAACGAAAGAGCCCGACGAGCTGAGTTGAATGACACCAAAATTAGCTCGATTGGATGATTTTGAAGAAAGTTATGACCAACAGAATCTTCGCTGGAAAAACTGTTTTTGTGCTGCTACGGAGGGTAGGCTGGGCATGGTCTTCGCTACACGATGGCCGTGCTTCGCTGCGGTCGTGCTCGCTGCGCTCGCGGCGACCGTAGCGAAGCGGCGGCCGTCGTTCCGCTCGACATGCCCGGCTTCCTCCGCAGCGGCAAAAACTTTTTTCCGCGAAACCCTTGTGGAAGGGGCTAAAACAAACGGTCATAACTTTGTCAAATGACGTCTGATTTCATTGATTTTGGTGTCATTCGACTCAGCTCGACGAGCTCTTTCGATGACATATAAATCGTCCAATTCTGAGCCTGGTACGGAAACTGTAGTTTAGCCACCAATCGCTTTAGCTCGATGAGAGGAATCGTTTGATACTAAATTTTGAAGGATTCGCAAATTTTGAAGCATGCTATGGCTTTGCGCCTAATTGACCGAGCGCTGTTTTGATTAAATCAGGGCTCGGATTCGTACTTTATTTGAAAGTACAGTACTTTAAAATCGACCTCCGTACTTACAAAATTGAATTTGTACTTTATTGAAAGTATGTACTTTAAAATCAACATTTTGGATTGAAAATGAAAGTTAAATAAAAAATTTAAAAATAATGTTGGCAAAGTGTAAATATTTCTTTGTTTCTCTAATATTGAATATTTCTCTAATATTTTTCTCTAATATTGAATATTTCTTTGTTTCTCTAATATTCAATAAGAGAATTAATTTATGCGGAAGTTGTCCAACTGGCTGAGCAAATTTGCCCGGAAAATTCAGAAAATGATGAACTTTTTGATGAAATTTCACAATTAAATAAAACTCTGAATGGCATTAATAATGAAGGTTTTTATCTCAAGACAACAGAGCAAAAATGGAAAATGATTTTTGATGTTCCTGGAGCTACAATAAAATACAAAAACTTGTACCGGATAATCGGTGTCGCTATTTCGGTCGAATTTCCTATTATATTTCATTTATTAAATTTATTTTTTAAAGATTCCAGTTTCAAATGCATTTATAGAACGCATCTTCTCAATGGCAAGCATTCAATGGACTAAAGAAAGAAATTCGCTTGAGGTTAAACTGTCAGGGCTTTACTTCTTGTGTCGGCGAATTTTGACATGTCATGCATTGAAATGCACAAAATGCTCAGCGGAAACAAGAAATTATTAGAAAAGATTCATTTAGGAGAGAAATATAAAAGATTTGAGCACGAATAAGTATTCTCTAATTTAATTTTGAGTGTACTTTAAATGTGGAAATTTTGCCCCTATGTACTTTAAAATCAAGATTTTTGTACTTTTTATTGGCATTTTGTCGATCCGAGCCCTGGATTAAATAGTTGAATAGCCCGTTAAATGACTAAATGCTAAATGAAATTCGCTAGATTTTATCAACATTTTAGATAAGAAATGAGTTCAATCCTGCAAAAATAAGAAAACTTCTTTTTGTGGCGAAGAACACAAAAAACTATACAACAGATCGCAAAAACAAAATTTGTGATGAAGATTTAGCCTAAGGCACTGCTTGGCTTCCAAAAATAAATAGATTAGGCCAGATTTAGGCTATTATATCTAACTTTATAAATTATTTAATATTGTGTTCAAAAGTATAAAAGCACCTTGGATTTTCGTCTTTTTTGATTCTTAGAGGCGGAATTCTTAGGCTTTTGGCGCGGGGACGTTTTGGTCCGCAGATATCAAAACCCTGATCTAACCTCATTACACAATTCACACAATAATTAGTTATACCCTAAATAAGGTATATCGCTAAGTATCTAACCAGAGCCCGGACTGTACCGTAGCACGACAGCTTCCAAAAAATATCTATTCAGTATCAGTAGTACGGTAGGAATATCGACCGATAACTTTTGAAGTCGATCGGTATCGGTATTTCTCGGTATCGCTTTACGGAATAGTGATGTTCGGGAGAAGAAAAAACCCGGGAAACGGGTCGGTAGGCCAAAAACTCGTGAAATTTTCCCGAGTCGGGATAGGGATACCCGAACATCACTAGTACGGAATACCGTGCAGCACAAAATTCCAGGCACTATAACTAACAATACCTAGTGGCAGTGATGCGGAAATTCCAAAATGTCGCCGGTTCCGGTTCCGGAACCGCTTTTTTAATTTTGCCCGGTTCCGGTTCTGGAACCGGTTCTAGAACCGGTTCCTGTGACAAAAATTTTTGGCTATACTTTAGCATAGGTCCACTGAGATCGAAACTCGAAGTATATATCATTCGATTCGCCTCGCCAAGCTGAGTTCGAATATGCAAAAATTTCTTGCCGGAGACGAAAAGATATATGGGCCCCCGATATATGGGCCCCCCCGCAGAGATATGGGCCCCCGATCATCGAAAAAGGGACCAAGCATTTTTTGGGGTGAATAGAAAATTTCGGATCCAGTTCAGGGGTGGACGCAATTGAACAACAACAATTCAACGGAAAAAGGGGTTTAAGCGCCGCAGGCGAAAATTTTGAAAAATTTGAAAGGACAAGTCACCAGATTTCTTACCTTTTCTGCGCCGCAGGCAAAAATTTTTAGGATTTTGGAAGGCCAAGCACGAGATTTCTGCCCTTTTTAAGTGCCGCAGGCGAAAATTTTGAAAATTTGGAGGTCATAGCACATAGATCATTCATTAAGTACGATTCGAACCTAATACAAAGATAAGTCCTCAAATCTACGAACCCAACACGCTAACCAGTTCAACCACACATTCTTCAGAAGAAAAGAAAATATTTCTTACTCGTCTCAATTTTCTCTTCCTTTTCCTTTCACACCTTCCATCTTTTGCTCATTTCTCTGATTTTACCCATCATTAGGGGTGTATCTTTGGAACCGGTTCCGGACTTTTACCGGTTCCACGGTTCCACTTCCGGAACCCGCACAAGCCTTACTATAGCTGGATATAACCAACTCCCAAAAATACTCGGACGCAGAAAAAGTTTGTTTATTCCTCCGTGATTTACGTTTAATTTGAAAAGATAGTAAATTTATATAACAAATATTATGTAATACCTAATCAAGAACAATTAATTTATCGTGCTTTATTTTAATAACTACGGTAATTACTTTAAATATGAAAAATCAGAGAATGAAAATTTAAAAATAAGACATGTCTCGATAAAAATAGAGTCGGCGCTTGGGTGTATTTATGGAAGCCACCGAAGATGGTTGATAATGTTGACTAATATGCTCCGACTGAGCCTTGAGAATCTTCTTCAACTGTTCTGCCTTCATCTAGAATTTAATGCCTTGAATGCTGAAGCGCGAATCGAATTACGGAATAACGAGTCAGAAAACATGTCATTTTCTACAACATATAATTTATTAGATTAAAATATGTTTAAATGTTTTTATTAAGTTGTAACCAGAAGGTGTTGTAACATTGATGTGCGTGTAATTTTTGGAAGCCATCATAGATGGTTAATAATTGTAAAAGCCCGATCCAAACACGACTTCTTCCATCAGACCTTTTCCATCCGACTTTTCTACTCAATATTTGTTTATTAAATTATCTTTTGTTTTTACAAATTTCGACCCATCTGATTTTTATAAATTTTTGATGTGTAGATCATTATATTTTTGGATGCTGAACAGTATTCAGCAATTTAAAAAATTAACAAAAATCCTCGTTTTATCACGTACTCTTAATTATGCTCTTCTTTTGCCAATTTTTTGCCCCTGTTTAAGAATATGTGGAAAAGAATAATGAAAAACCTGACGATCTTGCAGATCAAGCAAAAGTGTTTTAGAATATGTTAACTAAATAAAGTTTAGCTTCCAAAAAATTAAGCGAACTGGACCATCAACCCAATGTTTAGGCAAATCAAAATTGAAATTTACTATGGACGCTAATTAAATAAGTATATATTATTTAATTTCTACCCAAAAAATTCGAAACTATTTCTTTTAAATTTGTACCTATTTTGCCACTTTTTGAAATTTTTTCAGCCTATTTTAATAATTTTTCGAGTCTATTTTTGTGTATGGGCGTAAGCCCTTAAGTAGAATAGTATAAAAGCCAGCCTTTAGTTAATTTCCAGTCTCTTCGCTTCTTCATTCCTCCTACCACAACCTTAATTGTATTTATTATATTTCCACAAGTGATAATGCTTCTGTCCGTTCTCGTTTACATAAGCGAAGTCATAACACGATTTAGGTACGTATTATCAGTTTTTTCGGACCAAAAAAAGTATTTCTGCTATTTAGATTAATTGGAGGTTGGCTGTGCTTATCTGCTTAATTAGGGTTGCCGTTTTCGGTTCGAGCCGACGTTCGGTGCATTTTTTCGAGCTAGGGTTTTTTCGATTCGGTTCGTTTTCGTGCTGTTTAAGTTCGGATTTTTTCGATTTGGTTCGTTTTCGAGTTTTTCGAGTTTGGTTTTTTTTGAGCGAGCTTTTCGAGCTAAGATTTTTTCGAGCGGGTCGAGTTTTTCGAGTCTTTTTTCAGAAAAATTTTATTCAATCATCATCAGTAGAGCCCGGATTTTTATGCATTAAAAAATGCAAAATATGCACTATAATATGCATAAAACCCAAGTTTAAGATCATTAAAAAATCAATAAATGACTTCACAAAATATTAACAACAAACGTCCTTATTCATATTCCAACTTTTCCCCTCCTGACCAAACATCAGGGAAAAAGAAATTATTAATTGACTCTATTAATGCAATTCCTCCGATTGGAGAATTGCCACAACTTGACAACAGCATTCCGGATTTTGCTAAAACCATTATTCAGCAAAATTATTCTTTAATTACCCATCTGACAAGTCTATTAAAAATTGCCACTTCTTTATTACAAGACACTCAAACTCCAACCGAAATTTTTGAAGAAAAAGAGCGACAGAGGTCGTTGGTGTTAATTAATTTACCTGAACAACCAACAACGACACCACCTTTCGAACGTGCAGTAGCTGACACTAAGGCTGTTCAAGGTTTACTTCACCAGCTGGGTGTGGAGTCTTATCCTAGTAGTATATATAGGATGGGTGTTTTTAAAAACCCAGCTGAAAAAGGTCACAAGCCCCGTCCCATTAAAATTCTAATGCCATCCTCTAAGCATCAACGGCACTGTTTGTCGGCTTGGAAAAGAGAAAGAATCAAAATTTGCAAAGAAGAATTATCAAACATTTTTCTTCGGCCCTCTCTGACACTACAACAAAGACAATTTGAATATGAACAACGGGTAGCAAGGCGTAAGGAACGTGAAAAAGCAAATATGGATGGAAATGAAGTAATTAATACGCAAAATAAAAATTTTTAATAAAACCTCTCTGTATTAAGCCGGGTTCAAACTAATGTTAGGCAAATGGATTTTTCCGGTACCGGTACCGGTAGTACCGAAAAGTACCGGTACCGGACGAGTACCGAAAATCCCAAAATCTGACCGGTACGGTACCGGTATCGGTAGTACCGAAAAGTACCGGTACCGGTCAGTACCGGAAAAAAATTTCCGGTACTACCGCGGTACTCCGGTACTGAAAATAAAATGAAATAATATCCCAAATATGGCCTTATAAATGTGCTAATTGATGTGTAACAGTTTATACCTATATGATCGTTGTTAGTTGGGATATCAAGGGATATTAGGGGATTAAGAGGGATATAGGGGGATTTCGCTGGATTTGATCGGATTAAGATACCTTTGTGAGATGTAATGCCTTTATTACATGACTCTAAATCCATCATATCTATTTTATTCTTTCGATATCTCTCCAAATCCTCTGATATCCTTTCCAAAATTCCCCGATATCCCTCTTAATCCCCCTACATATAAATACTGAAAAATACACCGGTATATACCAAATCTAATATCCTTGGAAATCTCCTAATCCCTCTATATTACTTTTAAACATCACAAATCCTCTTTTATCCTTGTTAATCCCGCAAATCCATTTATATCTGTTAATCCTAAAATATCCTCTTAAGTGCTTTTCATTTAGATATATGCATGGGGCATATCAGAGAATGTGAGTATTCTTAAGTATTCTTAACTTTAATGATATTCTTAACCTTGATCGGGGTTTTCAGGAATTTGAGGAGATGGACCCTGAAATTCCAAAAAATAAAATTTTGGAAGGCCAAGAAGCCAAGATTTCTTCTTGTTATAGCGCCGCAGGCAAAAATTTTCGATTTTTGATAGGCTTCGGGTGAAAATTCTAGGAA